AAACACGTGACATTGACACAACGCAACATAGTTTTGTTTTGTTTTTAATGTTATAAAGACCTCTTTGACCTTCCAAAACATGCACATTACGTTAACAAATATATTCCTACAAACTGGAACAACTAATTACCTTCAATACAATTTTCTTCATTTCTTCATCTGGAGACTGGAATTCTCGAATAAGGATTAACATCACTTCTCTGGTATAGTAGTTGGCATATTCTGCATCCATAAGAGGAATAAGATACCCAATAGCCTTTAAGAAAGCGGCCAAACCCTATTTAAAAATAAAATATATAAACAGACACACGTCAGGAAATTAAATTGAGGTTGCCTTACTGAATAGCAACAACCCAGAATCTAAGAGCGGACTTACCTTTCCTCTGTGCTGGCGGATACCCTTCCATAGAGGCTTGAGCACGGAGTCAAACGACTCGATACCGTAAGGAGTCGCTGCTTCAGCCAAAGCAGCAATAGCCAAAGCACTGATGGTCCGAACTTTCTGCTGTTCATCCACAAGACCTACACAAGCCAACACAGGCGTGAGCCGGCCCCAAGACCTCATTTTCACAATCCAGCCCAATCATCATCAAGGTCTCTAACCATGTCCCCAAACTGCAAAGCACTGATGGTGTGAACTTTCTGCTATTCATCCACAAGACCTACACAAGCCAACACAGGCGTGAGCCAGCCTCAAGACCTCACTTTCACAATCCAGCCTGATCACCATCAATGTCTCTAACCATGTCCCCAAACTGCAAGACATGTTCCAGTCAATACAATTTCCGCAAAAGCAGTTTGTTAACAGAAACTGTTACAAACCCCACTTCAAAATAGAGCCCATTTGTGTGGGAAAGCCCTTTCAGTTATTCCCCACCCCCAATCAGTAATCAAACATTCAGGACAGCTGATCTACAAAAGTTACATCACACTTACCGTGTTCAATGATTTCAACTAAACTTCTGAGATGTGGCAAGATAGCACAGCCCATAAGAATAGCTATCTGTTGTACAATCTTAATACCAGTGTGCCTGGCTTGCCAAGACTTCTTGCTTTTGCACACAGCTTTTAAGAAGGGCAATAGAGAAGGAATGCCCAGGGCAGAAGCTACAACAGCAAAAGCTCGAGCTGTTGTGTTTCGGACATACTCATCCATGTTATCTATATCAGGTCTCATGGTAGAAATCATAGTAGCCAGACCAGCAGCCTAAAGACAAAAGACACAACAACAGCTTCAGTTAATACCATCAATCCTCAAACCCTTCAAAAGGCAGACTTCCTTTTCTAGGAATTGAATGTGAATACCTTTGCCAAGTTAGAAATAATCTCTCGGCCTTCCACTCTGGCATAGTAATCTTCATCAATCAGCAGCGGCTCAATGACCACAAGAATCTGAGAAAAAAAAAAAAAACACAAGAGGAATTGCATTTCCACATGAACCTACAGTTATCAAAAAACTTTGTTTATCAAGGAATGGGGTTAAAGAATTTTAATTCCATAACATCAAGCCCTAGATATAGGTGAAAATTAAATGTAAACTAACATTAAAAAATATATGAGCACTGTCATATAAAGATGATTCTTTATTCTAATACAAAATAAAATATCTATTCTCATTCTAATCTGTCAATAAAAGCAATTGGAAAAAATGAGTTAATAACTCAAGAGTAAAAATGACAAAAAAATTTACATATATCTTTATTTTTATATATGTGATGCTTGCTTCTGGAAGAAGAAAAAAGATCTGGTAGTTGTGCTAATTAATGTTAATTGTCAATTTGGCAGGATCTAAAACCACCTGGGCAATGGGCCTCTGGGAATGCCCTTAAAAGATTATCTTGCAAAGACCCACCTAAATTGTGGGCAAAACCCATTGGCCGGGCAAGAGATCCTGCACTAGAGTTAGCATACATCCACACAAAGACATAGGCCAGCCTCGATAACATGGTGAGACCATTTCTCAAAAACCCCAAAAGATCAGGACAGACTAATTCAACACTGATTAACTCTGAGGATGCTATACATTGTTAAACTTTTCTAGACTATGCTTGTATACATTCAACTAAAATTTTGAACTTTAAAATTTTAAGAACACAAGGAAAGGGGCTGGAGAAATGGCCTGTCAGTTAGAGGGCACTAGCCACTCTTCTTGAGGACCCAGGGTCAATCCCCAGCACTCACATGGCAACTTAGAACATCTATTAACTCCAGCTGTGGGGGGATCCAATGCCCTCTTCTGGCTTCCAAGGGCAACAATCATGCAAGTGATTCAGGCAAAGCACCATATACATGAACTAAGTTTGTATAAATATGAGGACAAACTGGAAAAATAAACCCTTGACTTTTATAATGAAAAAATACTAAACGGCCAGGCAGTGGTGCCACATGCTTTTAATCCCAGCACTCAGGAGGCAGAGGCAGGTAGATCTCTGAGGCCAGCCTAGTATGCAAGGCTACACAGAAAGACCCTGTCTTGAACAATGCCCACCTCCCCACTAACCTACCACCGAAAAAGAGCTTCCAGATTCCAGAGAGTGGAAAACAGAATTCAAGCAATAAAAATTAGACCATTAAATACTACTTAGAGAACCAACCAACCTTGTGCACATATGGCCGTACTAAGTCATCCAGTTTATACAGTATCCTATCAATAACTTTCACAAGTAAATGACGCTCTTGATCCTCAAGTGTAGGAGACATCAACAGAGGAAGAATCTGGTTAAACAAAGGTCCAGCCCCAAATTCTCGAGCTTTATCAGTAATCTGACGTAAAGCAGCCTGGGGAAAAGCAAAAAGAAAAGATTATTTTCATTTATGAGCAAGCATTCAGAAGGGGTAAATTTCATCAGGAATCATATTTTGATGTATACTTAGGTAAGACAATTTACATCTAAGAACTCACATGACCCAAGTTTACTGGTATCAGCTCATTCAAACAGGGTCATTTAGTGGCAGGTGAGGTGGCTAAGAGGGAAAGGGGCTTATCACCAAGCCCACTGACCCCACCACAAGCCCTGGGATCCGGACAGTGGAAGGAGAGACCAACTTCCACAGCTGTCCTCTGACTTCTGTCTACTCTGGAGTATCACCTACCCACATGCCTGTACACACACCCACGCACTCTGTATATACTAAAGAAATGAATAAATGGGCATAAAAGAAAAAAGGGTAATTAATTTATAGGGCTTGTAACATTCCTCAGAGGGTAATGGGTACTAGCCACCAAGCCTGATAATCATTTGAGTTCAATTCTAAGAACCCACAAAATAGAAGGAAACAACTGATTGTATGTGTGCCCATAAATAAATGTTTAAAGGATAAGTTAGTTGTGCCATAGAACCATACAAGTATATACCATATGCCTTAGTTGAGCCATAAGAGCCTTCCAGAATCAAGCCACATTCAGTGGTTTTTTTTTTTTTTTTAAAGATTTATTTATTTATTATGTATACAGAAGAGGGCACCAGATCTCATTACAGATGGTTGTGAGCCACCATGTGGTTGCTGGGAATTGAACTCAGGACCTCTGGAAGAGCAGTCAGTGCTCTTAACCTCTGAGCCATCTCTCCAGCCCCTACATTCGGTGTTAACAGAACAACTCACGTAATTTTCACTAATCACTTCTAGTTCTAAACACTCTAAAGCTGTCAAGGACAAACGGAATTTAATTTTCTCATATCCTTATCAGAACAAAAATCCTTTGATTAGAAGAATTAAATTCACTGAGCCTGGAACATAAGTCTTTAATACCAAGCAGCTGCTCCAGAAGAGGATCCAAAGCTCAAGGCTTGCCTGAACAAGCTTAAGGCCAAGCTAAGCAACTTATCAGAGATCATATAAAAAGCCAAAAAAGGAACCCGAACAGAGTGCCATGTCTTATTCTGTTAATTCCATCACTCAGGTGGCTAGGCAAAAAGGATTGCTATCAGACTAAACCCAACCTAGGCTGAGTTTCAGGCCAGCTTGAGGTACAGTTTGAGAACCTGTCTCAAAACAAACAAAAATAATGATATAATAATTTAACAAACTAGACCGAGGAGCCAGATGTGGCACATACTTTATTATTTATTGTTCATTAAAGGTGGAATACACCTTTAACTAACTGAAACATTTGAGAGCCAGAGGCAGGTGGATTTCTGGAGGTTCCAAGCCAGCCTGGTCTACATAGTGAGTTCCACGGCAATCAGGACTAAAAGCCAAAAAAATAAATAAATAAATAAAATAAAAACAGAACTTACCTTTCTCATTGGAGGTGTACCATTCTTAATTTTTAAAAGCAACTTCATTATTTTTCTCTCTTTTTGCTCTTCTGGACTAAGTGTTGATTCATCAACATCAACCTACAATGAAATTGAAAGGCAGATCAAGACAGTGATTTGTAACTCCCAAACAAGAGCAATACTTCATTCACTTCTGCTAGCATCACTTACCAATAGTTTATCAAAGTACTGAATGTCATCAGGCTTCAAAAACGGCAGGTTCCCAGACGGCTGGTCATTGACACTTTTCATCGTCCTGTCTTCAGTCTGCATGTGGAAACCAGTCATACCGCCCAAAGGTGTGGGGGTTGCTGTCAGCTTCCGGGCTGGAGTGCGAATAGGAACATAACCAGCTGGCGGGGGAAGGACCTAAGAGAGTCGCAATGCACGTTAGCAGGACGGCCTTGACTTCACACACTGAAGGACAGCACAGCAGCATTTACACGTACAGAGAGGTTACAATTTATTAGCTAGCAAGCTTATTTACCTGGAGAAAACATAACCCACTGTTCAAAATTAAAAGTTAAGATATTTATGAAAAATAATTTCTAATTCGTTAAATTTTAATTAACAAATTAGAAATTAAATGAGAAAGAAACAGATGAAGCACTCTAAAAATTCTGGCCACATTCAAACAATAACATGTTTGAAATATCAACATGCTGTAAAGCCAACATGTGAAATTAATGAAACTTGAAATTATAAAAACTACACACTTGGCTCAGTCTGGGAGGAAGGGACTAGACCTGCCTGGACTGAGTCTACCAGGTTGATCGTAGTCCTCGGGGGAGGATTTGCCCTGGAGGAGGTGGGAATGGGGGGGTGGGCTGGGGGTAAGGGGAGGGGGGGGGAGGGGGGAGAATAGAGGAACCTGTGGCTGATATGTAGAACTGAATGGTATTGTAAAATAAAATAAATAAAATTAAAAAAAAAAGGAAAAAAAAACTACAAATCAGTGATTTCCCAAAAGGTACCACTGTTAGAGCAAATATTTATAATCATTCATTTAAGTGGAAACAAACTTACATGGTTTATATAATAGATTACAAAAATCATGTATATTTTAGAAATAAATTGAAAATTCACATAAACCCCTAAATACTATAAAAATGTATTTTAAGACTGAACTCTACAAAACTGACTTAAATACAGAAAAGTAAAACTAAAGTATTTGCCAAGACCCTCTGAAAGAAATGCCAAATCAAACCTATTATAAAACCCATTGAATACCTAAAAATATGAGTTAAAACAATAGGATTCGGTTTAAAGCAGTGAGACTTTTGTTGCTAATAACACTTTCCTCGGTAGGACAATAAGCCTAACACAGGTCCTCTCCAAATAGTCAAATATCATGTCTGAAAAATGTCAAGGAGATTGAAGATTTGATAAACATATCTGATGCCACCTGTACTTCATTAAATTATTTTTCTGCTGCTTGTTAATGCATGTGCAGCATGGACCTCTGACTAAGCATTTTGAATAAAGTAGAATTTATTCCTTGATTCTTTAGTATGTCAAATCCACTGGTGTCACTGTACACTGAAGGTGTACTTTAAGATTGTACTTATTACACTCACAAAAGAACAAGTATCCTTCCTATTGGTATTAAGGAAACTAAGGACTATAACTGAGAAAGATATTTAAACAATCAACATTAGATTGTCCACAGGCAAAGCATTACATGGAGGCTACAAGGTGACTTTGGTTTTTAATGTTTTATTGATTAATTCTTGTCCTCCTGGGCAAATGCTCTAGACTGAGGAATATGGCACGTTCATCGGCAGCAATAACTAACCCAAACCTAACGGGATGGAGAAGCGCATACACCTGCACACTACTGACAACAGTCAACAGCAAAAAGGCTCTAACGGCCTCTATAAGATTAAGGTTAGCCAGGCGGTGGTGGCGCACGCCTTTTACCCAGCACTTGGGAGGCAGAGCCAGGTGGATCTCTGTGAGTTCGAGGCCAGCCTGGACTACAGAGCGAGTTCCAGGACAGCCAGGGCTACACAGAGAAACCCTGTCTCAAAAAAAAAAAGATTCCTTACTTAAAAACTAAGAAAAGCCAGGAGTGGTGGCGTACCCTTTAAACAAATCTGTGAGGTTAAGATTAGCGTGGTCTCTATCTGAAGTTCTCCAGACTAGCCATGATTACACAGTGAGACACTATCTCAAAATATAAGAATAGTTCTTTACTAGCGGGCATTAGAGAAATGGCTCCCCAGTAACTTACAACACTTGCACCTCAAATCGTGAGGACCAGAGTTCAGAACCCACGTTGGGCAACTCACAACCGCCTATAATTCCAGTGGAGGAATTAAAATGGCTTCTGCAGACACCTGAACTCACATGCACATACTCATACACATAATTAAAAATAAAATAACATTTTTAAATTAACTTTCACTTTATGTGCAATGATGTTTTGCGTGTTGTGTGTATCTGTGTTAAGGTGTCAGAACTCCTGGAGCTGGAGATACAGTTGTGAGCTGCCATGTGGTTGCTGGGAATTGAACAGGGGTCCTCTGGAAGAGCAGCCAGTGTTCTTAACCACTGAGCCATCTCTCCAGCCCTTAAAATTGTATTTTTTTAAATGTTTTTGTGTGCCTGGATTTAAGCTTGTACACTTGAGTACAGAGCCTGAGAAGACCCACAGGTGCCAGGGAGCTCTCTGATGTGGGTGCTGGGAACTGAACCCCACCCTCCTCCAAGAGCAGCACATGCTCTTAACAGCTGAGCCATTTCTCCAGTCCCCAAAAGGAAATATGTTTTTCAGGGGGACAGTTTGAGACAGGGTCTCTTTGGCCTGGAACTTGTTATCTGGACCAGACTGGCCTCAAACTCAGAAATCTGCCTCTGGCTCCCATCAATCACCAGGATTAAAGACAGGCACCATCACAACTGGCAAAATAATAAAGCTCCATGTTACTCATTTCATCTCTATTACTTTTCCAACTGAAATGCACTTAGTAGTACCTATATAAAAGGAAAAAAAAAAGAAGGAACTGACTAATAAATCTGGGTGAGGCCTATGCAAATTTGCCAGGTGATTTTTTTTTCCAACCAAATGCTTAAAACTCATATCCTAAATACCAACACATTCACCATATATTCATCAATAGTACCTTATATCCTTCTGGGAACATAGCATCTAATTCTTCATCAGAAAGTGGGCGGTTTCGCTCATCAATTTCTCTCTCCCATCGCCAAGCCTGAAGCTGTTCAGGAGTCATGCTCATTATGTGACCTACCAAAAAAGCCAAGTTTTAATAATCCACAGTGCAAGACTTTATCATTAAATAGGTCCTTACTGTTTGTTTTTATATTAGAAATGCAAATCAAGACACTTTTATATTCTTATTATTAACAGAAAAGCTAGCACTAATAGCACCCAGAAAAAAACAGCAAAAAAATTATAACCGTTACAAGAGAAAGAATGAATGAATGATTTCCAATGAGCATTTCTACCTGGAGTGGGGGTAGCCATGTTCATGGCTGGTGTGCCGATTGGGGTTTTTCCTGGAGTCAGAACAGGAGTGCTTCCCCCCATCTGACTAGCCGGTGTTTCATCCCAACGAGACTTTCTTTTACTTGCTCCAGGAGTTGGTGTTTCCCCGATAGAGTCTCCTCCTCGATCTGTTCGAGGAGTCTCAGCCCATCCACTTCCATGCCCAGGAGTATCTACAAAAACAAAGAGTCAGTAAGATCACACTATTAACCACTTTTCAAACACTGCTTCCCCCACATGCAAAAGGAAGATATTCCAAAAACAAGATATACTTAAAAGTTTTGTTCAGTATTTTTGGGTTTCCTTTCTACTGACTACAAAGGTACACACACAGCAACTAATGAGAAACAAAAACTTGTGTTTTCATCCATATGATCAATCTGTGGAACCATCAACTGTTTATCTTGAGTCATGTTCCAGCTACTCTCACTAGACATCCAACACTAGATTTAGGCAAATTTCTGAGACAGAACATAAAATATAGGCTAGCAGGAGCCAGAAGAAAGCATTGTTTAAAGGATGAAGTTTCTGTTTGGGTCACTGAAAAAAAGATATAGAAATGACTTATAGTCATAACTGTGCAACACTGTATGTTCAAAGCCACTAAATTGTATACTTAAAACTGGTATATTTAAACATACACACAGGAGGCTGAGGCAAGAGAATCACCAGGTAAAGACTAGTGAGATGATATCCAACACATTTTTTAAAGTTAAAAAAAAAAAAAAAAAACACAAAATTATCATCCTTTTATTTTTTTTAAAATACAAAATTTATCTTCTATGGTTCTTCCCATTAATCTTCAGCCTCTTCAAAAGGGGGAAAG